TAACTATCTTGGTTATGTAATTAGCTTAGATATACAAGATGAGAACATATTTACAGTAAATAATTTAAATAGACTGGTCTCATTAAACATAAATAGTAATAAGAGTATATCAGTAATGAGTAGTGAGATAGGTTTAATAATAAAAGTTTATAAAGATTTAACCAGGTACATAATAGCAGTGATGTATTCAAGTGAAGTTGTATTGTATGTACAAAATTTCAATAGTAGTGAAATAATGCCATGTTATACAATAACAGGTAATTTTACTTACATAACATGGGATGAAGAAGTACCTCTTTTGTATGTTAGTGATAATTATAAGACGTACTTGTATACCTAAGAAGTCAATAAAATTTTTAAGATTTGATTTATTTTGATAGGAAATTTCTTAGAAAAATAATTAGTAAGAAAATCTCTCAAAAAAACGTTAATCCGAATAAAAATATTAAAAACGATGGAATAAATAATATTTATAAATACAGAAAATTAATTTACTGTACATTAAGTCTAAAATAAGCATAATGTTTATTTATAAAAATGGAAAATTATAGCCCATAAAAAGCTAATGTTTTATACAAAGGGATGTGTACATGACGTAAATGATTGTATTGAATTAATAAACAGGGTAGTAAAAGGTGAAATAAAAATAATGAATAGAAGATTGAAACTATGTGAACAAGACCTTTTAAGTCCAGGAATGATTTTTATCTACAATGAACGAACAAGTAATATTAAGAGATGGACAGACAAAAAGAAGTGGCTGCCATCGAGAAAAATCAAGTGTTTTCTTTCTTATACTCATCAGTCATACAAATTTGTAAAGAAAACGTATTCACGTGTTACTGATAGTGGCGTATATCATATTATTGCATACTCACTAGCCAGGTGGGAAACCGATAAATCATGTTGTGAGTTAAGTTCCAATGATTTTGACAGCTTAATACACAGTGTTAAGATAGTGACAGATATCATACAACCAACACATAAGATGTTTTATAATGAAATGTACTATAAGGGACAGAGTGGTGTAATTCCACAACCTTATTTCTATGAACAACACATGTACAGAAATAACTTTAATCTAATCAATTCAAACATTCAAAATGAAAATGAAATAGAGATAAGCAGAAATGACAGTCAGATTTTAAGAAACTCAATGACAAAATCAAAGAAAAATAATTCACTTGATGAATTTTTATTAGAAAATTTTAAAAATGATGACATCGCTATCAACAGTGATATCATGCAACCTAGAAAAGATAACGTTAATAATCCATTCATGTTTAATAGCGGTGAATAAAATTTAAGTTTATTTGTTTAGAAAAAATAAAATAGTC